ACCAATTGAAGAATTCCCCTTAGCCTCTCTGATGAGGATAAGATTTTATTTTTTTGGTGATGAATTCGAATAAATTGATATTTAATCTGGAAACCTATTACAGTATGTTTTCTTTATATATTTAATATGTTTTTCCTATATATCTTGTATATGTTTTTCTTATGTTTACGATCCTCTCACGGCGCGGTCCCGGGATGCATTTTTCACAACGCAAATGCTTTACCGTTTTACCTCTACGATCACTAAAAGTTTGGTAATTAGCAAAATTCTTAAGAGTTTAGTTTCCTCCCTAAGAGGAAGTAGAAACCTCTCACGGCAAGTAGTTTCTTATTTAACAACGGTGCCGTGAAGTAAGATTCATAACATTATCTATGATATTTTAATTTATGTATGAGTTTGAACAGAGAAGTAGAAAATGTAGCTAATCCGAAAAAAGACAAACAATTAAGTTTATAATTAATGCACAGAGAGGGCAGGGTATGAAATCTTCTCAGATTTTAAATGAAGAACTGACAGTCGTTGATTTTAAACAAACAAGCTATTGAAAATATAGTATAGATACTGCACGGTGTGCTATTTAAAATATAGATAAGTAAATAATATAATAGTCTATTAAATAAGGTATAATAAATTTTATACAAAAACAAAATACATTTTCTGATTAAAGGTGTGGCAACCCGAACTTTGTCGAAATCATTACTTTTTCTAGCAATCCAAACTTAGTATAAAACTGAATTTGCCTAATTTTGTATGCTTAGAGACATGAGCAACAGTGAACAGATGTTGCAATGCAGTTTTTAACAAGCTATGTAAATTCTTTGGAGCAAATTATCACTGGCGGTAAGAATTAAGTTTATTTTGCTGTAAACCGAATCTATTTCTCGTAGCCAGTGATAACCCACTAAAACACAAAATACAAAACAAGCATTAGGAATAACAATCACCTCTAGTAAGAAATTAATTGAAACATACCAGAAAATCACACCCATTTAAATACCTTCTTCTTGCACATGCAAAAATGTTGATCTGCATAATAGTTTGTTAATTCTTATAAAGAATCTAATTTATTTGCTTTTAATGAAATAATTAGCATGGCTTTCAGTATTTTGAGAGTGAACACTGAGAGTTTACTATAGCATGTGTAGAAATTGTATTGCACCATATGGCGCTCTGTGCGCTTGAATTCTTCGGACTAGTGCAGAACCTTAAAAATTGCGAAAGATCTAACACCAACGCGAAGCATTAACTAAAGTTTATATGTGCCTCTGTTTGTTGTAAATGTATTTAATTGTGTCGTCAATAAAATATGTAGAAAATGATAAAAGGCGAGAATGCGTCTGACAGGTGAGTGAGATTTCTTTATATATTGATTTGAATTGAGTTTTAGCGACAAAGAATGTATATGCGTATTTACAAATCTTTTTGGTGCCGATAATCCGGAAGAGACCTTTAGATAAAGTAAATTGCGAATTGAATACTGAAAAACGTATTTAGCGAATTGAATAATTTAAATTGTTATGATGGATATTGAAGCTTTAAAAAAAGATTAGAGCACCTGTCAGACGCGCGGCAACTGACACCATGAAACTGTTAGAAACTGAAATAAACAAACAGGAAAGATCAGTTGATTTAATTGATGAACTTTTAGCGAAACTTTTAGATAAAGAAGCTAATTTAAAGTATCTTAACGAGGAAATTCTAAAACTGTGCAACACGGAAGAAATAGAAAAGGAATTTGAAAAACAGCAAGAATATAAAGATAATATTATTACTTGAAAAATTCGCGCGAATAGAATCCTTAAAACGAAAGAAAGCGAAGTTTTTCGCGAAACTGAAAGATCGAATGTTGTAGAAACCAGAAGTGAGCAGCAGAATACGGTAAAACTTCCTCGCTTGCAGATACCTCAATACGATGCCAATATATTAAGGTTTAACGAATTTTATTCTCAGTTTGAAGTAGCTATCCATAAAAATGTGAATCTTAGTAATGTAGAGAAGTTTTAGTTAGTTATTTAAAATCGTACTTAACAGACGAAGCTGAGGTAGTAGCTCTACGTGGTTTAGCATTAAGCTCTGAAAACTATGAAATTGCCTTGAACATATTAAAAGAACGCTTTGGTCGAAAAGATGTTATTATTATCGATGCGCATATGGCAAGACTTTTAAACTTAAGTCCAGTACGAAAATCATATGACATTGTAGCGTTGCGTAGACTTTACTCAGAATGCAAAACACATATTCGAGGATTAGAAAATAACGGAATTAATCCTAATAGTTACAGTTGTCTATTGTATCCAGTGTTGTTAAAATCGATACCCAAAGATTTGTCCTTAGAATTTTCTCGTAAAACACATTCGGAAGAAGATGAAAACAAAATATCTGATTTATTGGAATTTTTAAAGATTGAAATTCAGTGTCGTGAACGTAACGAGTACTTAAGTAGAGACTTTAATTTAAACACTTCAGATTCGCGATTGGAAACTAAATTTAATCCTTTACAAAAACCTAATCAAAAGTATGGGAGATTTAATAAAACCAAATTGAATATAGGGGAAAAATAAATTAAATTCGAACATTCCTACTACTTCTGCATTTATGGTTGATGTGGAAAAATGTATATTTTGTACAAAACCGAAAATAGAGCACGATTCTGCCTCTTGTCCCTTATCGGTAGAACAGAGAAAATTAATTCTTAGAAAATATGGTATATGTTACGCTTGCTTTTCGAAGGGGCACGTATATAAGCAGTGTCAAAAGAACTCTATTTGTGGAATTTGTAAACGTTTTATGCATCACGAATTGATTTGCGATCAACCCAATGTTTATTCTTCTTTCCCCGCTCTGGAGTCTCGTCAGACTGTCGACGCGAATAAATGAAATGTTGTGTCTTCCGTAGCATGTGTGAATGAATCCGATGATTGCGACATACTACTTGAAACTTGCTCGGCAGTATTAATAGGCAGTAATAAAAGCAAAGAGATTAATATTTTGTTAGATAATGCGTCACAGAGATGTTTTTTGAGAAAAGAAGTAGCCGTAGAAATGAAACTACCCATAATTAGACAAGAAAGTCTAGCTGTTTACACTTTCGGCTCTAGAGTGCCAATACAAAAAACGTATGACGTAGTTGTTTACTTTGTAATTTATGTGATTCGGACAAGAAAATAACGATTGAAGCACTTTTGACTGACTGTATTTTCTGGATCGCAGTTTAAAGTATCACATAACAAATTAATGCAAATACTTTCGAGGAAGAACATTCAGTTGTCAAACTTAAGTAAATCGTCAGGAAATGAATTGTCTCTGCTTATTGGAGCACAGTATTTTTGGGATATTCATACGGGAGAAAAACAGCGATTAAACAAATCTTTGTATTTGATTGATACTCTGTTTGGAAGGGTTGTTCAAGGTCGAATCCCTCCATCAGATTTAAATGCGAATCGGGATATTTCTATTATGAAAATTGAATGTTGCGCCGCATTAAATGAAAAACTAACGCAGATTTTGGCAGTTAGATTCAATGGGGATAAATGATACTCACAGTGGAGATTTTAAATTTAAAGAGGAATTTATTTCTCAATTCGAAAGTAATTTAAAATATGAAAATGGAATGTATACAACTAAATTATTCTGGGAACGGTAAACCAGAAAACTTGTCTAACAAATTTCGCGGTAGCAAAACGAAGATTTCGTAACTTAAGTGTAAAAATGAAAGAAAATGATTGGGTTTATAATGAATATAAGAATATAGTTAAGGAGCAATTAAAACTGAATATCGTTGAAAGAATGTCCTTTCGGCTTAGAAAAGAATTCTTATTATATGCCTCATTCAGCTGTAGTAAGATCGGATAGGGACACTACGAAAGTCAGATTGGTTTTCGATGCATCGTCAAAATATAATGGGTGCAAATCTCTTAATGAATGCTCGAATCCTGGGCCACCGTTGAATCCCAGAATTTTGGATGTAATCTTGCGATTTCGCGAATATGAATATGCATTCAGCTGTGATATTCAGGGAGCATTTTTTACCATAGGAATAGGGAAAGAGGATAGAGACTATTTACGTTTTTTTCTGGTTTCCAGATGAAAGTGATTCAAAAAACTTACAAAATTTTACGAATGACTCGCGTTCCCTTTGGAGTGACATCAAGCCCATTTATCCTTGCTGCGACTATTAAATACCACATTAGAAAATATAAACTTGAACAAAGCGAAACTTGTGAAATGCTTGACTCGGCACTTTATGTAGATGATCTTTTTTACGGAGCAAATACAATAGAGAAAACTTTAGAACTTTCACAGAGCGCTGTAAAAATTCTTAAAGATGCGAACATGAATTTAAGAAAATTTAATACTAATTCGGATGAGTTGAGAAATTTATGGAGTGAACGAGGTTTGTCTGATTGACAGAAACTAAAGAACGTCCTTTGAAGGTTTTAGGCATAATATGGAACACCGAAGAAGATACTTTTAAGTTAGATGTAAAACCTCTACTGGACATGACCTGTGATAGGAAGAATTCAAAACGTAGTGTACTTCAGACAGCTTCGAAGTTATTTGATCCTATGGGAATTGCATCACCTTTTATTGTTCTCATAAAATTATTAATGCAAGAAATATGGGAACTTGGTTTAGGATGGGATGATGAGCTATCAACTGACTTGAAGAAAAAATGGGATAATTGGTGCTCTCAGATTTATCTGTTGAAAGATTTGACAATCGAAAGAAAATATTTCTCCATACCATGGAAGTTGGTGTGAAAGAATTAGAACTACACATATTTTCTGACGCTTCTCCTAAAGCTTTCGGAGCAGTTGCGTACTTCCGTTACGTGTCAAGTGATGATTGTATTTATACAAGTTTTATCACTGCGAAATCTAGAATCGCACCGCTTAAAAGGTTGACATTACCGAGGCTTGAACTTATGGGAGCTGTTATTTGCTTCTAGACTTTTCCAATATTTGAAAACAAATTTTAAATTTCCTGTGCCTAGGGTATATATGTGGACAGATTCCTTAATCGCTCTTCATTGGATTAAAGGGAAAGCTTCAAAATGGAAACCTTTTGTATCGAACCGTGTATCCGAAATCCAGTCTAGAACTGATCCTGCTGATTGGAATCACTGTAGTGGGCAGGATAATCCTGCAGATTTCATATCTCGAGGAGCTACCGTGGAAAAGTTTATGTCCAGTTCGATTTGGATGCAAGGTCCAGAATGGCTTCGGTTGAAGAAAAGGGATTGGCCAAAAGGCTCTAATTATGAAATTTGTCTAGAGATTTCTCCAGAAGTATATTGCGAAAAAAGAAGTAAACTGGAAGAAGTATCGTCTTTTGTGTGCGAAGTGCAATCGAATTTGACACATTTAATGGATTTGAATAGATATAGTAGTTTAAGAAAATTATACCGTGTTACAAGTTGGATACTACGATTTATATACAACCTTAAATTTAAAACTAAACGATGTGGTGAACTAAGCACTGAAGAACTTAACGAGGCTGAAATTATCTGGACAAAAACTGTTCAAAGTGAAGCTTTTGCGGAAGAGCTGTCCTCTTTGAGACAGGGTAAAACAATTTCTAAGACTTCCTCTATTCTAGAACTGAATCCCTTTCTTAATAATGACGGGATAATGCATGTTGGTGGAAGACTTCAGAAGTCAAGACTTTCTTACCTTCAAAGACACCCAATTATTATGCCCTCAAAACATCACTTTGTGAATTTATTAGTGTGGGATGCACACAGCAAAGTGTTTCACGGTGGAATTTCTGAAACTTTGATAGAAATACGCGAAAGATACTGGATAATTAAAGGAAGACAAACTGTTAAAAATATCTTAAGAAAATGTATTCTGTGTAAACGATTTAATTCTTCTCCTGGTGTGCAAGTTACTGCTCCTTTACCAGTAAATAGAACAGAAGAATTACCTCCTTTTTCTGTAGTAGGTATAGATTTCGGTGGACCACTTTATACCAAAGACAGTGATGAGAAAAACTACATCGTGTTGTTTACTTGTGGAGTAACGCGAGCTCTTCATTTAGAGTTTGTTGGTAGCATGACCACAGAAACATTTCTTCTTGCTTTTCGACGATTCATTGCTCGTCGAGGTCTATGTTCTCAAGTTTTGACGGACAATGCCAAAACTTTCAAACGATCAGAACTTGAACTTAAAAATTTGTGGACTGTCATTAGTCATCCAACAGTAAAAGACTTTTACGCCTCCCACAAAATCCAATGGTGCTACATCGCTGAGAAAGCTGCGTGGTGGGGTGGCTTCTATGAAAGACTAATTAAATCTGTAAAACTTGCTTTACGAAAAACTCTAAGAAAAACTACTTTATCTCGAGAAGAGTTAGAAACTCTAATTATTGAAATTGAAGGTGTTCTTAACTCTCGTCCTTTAACTTATGTTTATTCTGAATTACAGGAACCTATGCCTCTAACTCCAGCTCATATGCTATTGGGGCGCAGGGTGAATAGTTTGCCTCCTGCCAGGCTTCATTTTGATTCTAATTTAGTTAATAGGAAAATGCTAATTAAAAGATTTAATTATCGAGAAAGATTGGTAAGTATGTTTTGGAATAAATGGAAAAATGAATACTTATTAATGCTGAGATCTGTTCATTGTGTTAAACCTTCAGGTAAAATTACTGAATTTAAAGTTAATGATATTGTATTAATTCATGATGAAAAGCTACCTAGACATTTTTGGAAATTAGGAAGAGTTGTAACAGTATTTCCTGGCAGAGATGGAAAAGTAAGGTCTTGTGAAATTGTGAAATTAAAACAGGTACATCAGTTATTAAAAGACCTGTGCAGCAGCTTTTATATAATCTTGAAATAAATGAATAAATTTAATTGTTTATTATATGTTTATTAATCTGTATTATTGTTACAGGACTATTCCATATATGTGATGAAAGTTTTAATGTATGTACAGGTATTGAGTTGCCAGCTTATTATCTTTATTATACTTTATTGCAAGTAACTTTACAAATTGTTTAAAGATGAATGATTTGTTTATATAGTAAATAAGTGTAGTTTCTTTAATATGTGAATTGATTGAACTTTACATTGTAAAAGTTTCTTTTGTTAAATTTGTATTAATGTAAGTGTTTGAATGAACCCCTGGTCATTCGGGGGGCAGTATGTGAGAAGTGATGTTGCAATGCATTGTAAATTCTTTGGAGTCACTGGCTTTTGCTGTAATCTATTTCTCGTTGATAACCCACTTACAAAACAAGCATTAGGAATAACAATCACCTCTAGTAAGAAATTAAATTAAACATACCAGAAAATCACACTCATTTAAATACCTTCTTCTTGCACATGCAAAAATGTTGATCTGCATAATAGTTTGTGTAATTCTTATAAAGAATCTAATTTATTTGCTTTTGATGAAATAATTAGCATGGCTTTCAGTATTTTGAGAGTGAACACTGAGAGCTTACTATAGCATGTGTAGAAACTGTATTGCACCAGATGGCGCTGTGTGCGCTTGAATTCTTCGGACTAGTGCAGAACCTTAAAAATTGCGAAAGATCTAACACCAACGCGAAACATTAACCAAAGTTTATATGTGCCTCTGTTTGTTGTAAATGTATTTAATTGTGTCGTCAATAAAATATGTCGAAAATGATAAAAGGCGAGAATGTGTCTGACAGGTAAGTGAGATTTCTTTATATATTGATTTGAATTGAGTTTTAGCGACAAAGAATGTATATGCGTATTTACAGCATGAAAGGAAACATTCTTGTTTGTTGCTGAGAAAGAGAAGCCAATTTTTAATCTCTTTTAATCTCAATAATCTGATTTAACTAGTGTTCAAATTTAAGTCAGTTATATAATTTGTTAGTCCAAAGGAGCAATTTGCCCCGAAGGACTATTAACTTCGTTTTGGTATTTTGCGTCGACTCAGGATAAGCGTTGTTTCATTTTTCAAATTGTTGCCACCAAATATTATCGGCCTGTATTATATTTAAAGAAATTAAATGTTGAAAAATCTTCATGAAAGTATGTATGTTTCTCGAATTATGATAAAACAACGGTACCTAAAGCCATCAAAATTTGAATAACGTTATCTTCCATAGAATATGGGCGTGTGGAAGCTCTAATTTAAATTTGAAATTTGTTTTATAATCGTTTTCATATTTTGTAACACTTGAACGAATTTTTAATAAAAAAACTAAACGATTTCAAAGAGAGCAATGGCAACACTCTACGGAAAAAAAATCCTTTTCATCCCCAGCGCGCGAGGCCCTGTATTAGAAAATCTAAAGATATGCTTATTTTAAAATTATTTTATGATATTGCTGTTGAATTGAATTTTATGGTTTGAGTACATAGAACATGATATTTAATAAATAAAGGTAACACACAAAATGTTAAAAAACGCCTCTTTAGACGTATTTTAAAATCTGAAATCTGTCAGATTTTTTTTTTTTTTTTGAATTATAATATAATGCTTGATATAATGTTATTCATTGATTTTTACTCTGAGATATGTTGAGAAAATTATAGAACAGCGGCTTAACTTGAAACAAAGGTTTTATATGAAACGTAAAACAGTTTCTAACATTCATAAGTAGGTGAGCGGTGAAATCGCTAAACAGTGGTACTTCACTTCGAGAATAAATCTGTTGTAAATATTTGTACTATAAATTAAGAAAGTGAGAAAAGAAACATTTTTCTTACCTTGTCTTCTTCGATATTGCCGAGCATCGTCACAGTCTTCCTTTGTGTTATTCAAAACGAGACTGCACAAGAAATAATATATGAATTTATTTAATACATTAACACATGTTTGCCGTAGAATGGGAACAGGTAGATGTTTGAGAATTACATATGAATTTTAATAGTAGTCAATTTTCGAGCGTCCATTTAGCACTATCCTTTTACATCAGCGTGATGAGCCACACACTTCCTTTATTGGAGAGCAACTAAAATGTAATTATTATCACCCTATTAGTGATTAATGAATTCCATCATTGTATCAACCCCAATGCTAAGTGAGGAAGATCACCATCTTCCACGTTTCTCGAACGTAAGTTTTCCTAGCAGTTTGGTGAGTTGATCTGCGATGATGTCAAACATTTTGCAATGGTCCAAGTTTAGGATACTATTTTGTTGAAGTTCAGAAAGTAATGAATGGTATTTGATGTCTATATGTTTTTCTTTGGAACTACTTTTCTCTGATTGTGAACGTTTGATGCCTGACATGTTATTTTCTTAGAGAATGAGTGGTAAATGCTGTTCCAGTCCTATGTTTTCTAATGAATTTAACAATCTTTAAGCTTCTTGAGCTGTATTAACTGGTGCAGTGTATTCTGTTTCAATTGAAGATAACACAATGTAGTTTTGCCTTTTGATGCTCCATGAAATACAATTGTTTGCAATTTGAATATGTGTCCTCTAGTGGATTTTATGGTTGTTTTGCCGTTTCCTCAATCTGCGTCTGAATATGCTGTTAGTATTGGTTCCTTAACTTTGTTAAAGAACAATTTCAAATCTTTAGCTGTATATGGAATGACTTCCTTGATAGTATTCCAGTCTGTTTTCTGAGGTTTCTTGCTTATTCTAATCAGTAATTATCAGCACATGCTCTATCGTGTCTACTGATTGTTGCTATATTTAGTAATGCCCCTACTACTTGCCTGCATTTTGTATTATATTTAGAAGATTATCTTTATTTTTCAGTTTGCAGTAGTTTGTTTCCATTAAAGTATATGTTAACTTACTATCATGAAAGTTGAATCTTTGAACCAAATATATTTCTCCTATTTGGCTCGCTCATCCATCTCATTAATTGTGAGTACCAACATTTATTTAATTTATTATTGATAAAATAAAGTTTATCTAAACTTTAATAGGTTTAAATTATTAATTTTCTTCTATTAACTCAATTAGTTAATATAAATATGAAATTAAATTAATGTTAAAGAACTGCATATACATGTGTAAGGGTATTTTTGGAATAGTGCCATATGCGAAAATCTTGATTTCGAAAGGCACAAGAATAAAATGGTCCGCAGAATATTCTAATTTGTAAAAACTGTCCCCACATGAAAAACAGTTAAAAAGCGTTGCTTCAAAATATCCTATACGAAGGCATGCCATTTTTAAGAAGACTCAAAATTCAAGTTTACCTGTCCAATCCTAATATTTCTAACTTTCCGACGAGATAACTTGTATTTAAAAAAGGTCTTAAAAAACTTTAAATTAGAAAAAAATTATATTTGCGTATAATGAATTACTACGAGTAATCTCCTAGTTTATAGATGAAAAAATCATATAAAAATAAGGCTTCGTTTTAATTGACGAATATTACAGTATTAAATATCATATTAAAATCAATAAAATGAATTCATATTGTCATACTTCTAAACAAAAACAGAAGAGTTGTTATTTTTTATTATATATCATTGTCCTTATATGATACTTGAGTTGTTTTATACGTTTGAATTAATCCTTCTAATAAAGCCATATGTAACAACATATATATATATATATATATATATATATGTTGGTGTTCCGTTCTAAATTATTTTTAATATATATGGCTGAACTAGCGCATTCTGTGAAATAAAAGTGTAAAATAGAAAACTTAACATGAATTCATAATGATAGGAAAATTTAAAATAATTAAATCACTGTCTCACTTAGTGTTCGAGTTTATCTCTCTCCACCATTATGCTATATATTGCAGTAACTATAGATGTTTCTAAGCATTATTAGACTAGAATAAGTTAGACTAGCACATCCAAATTATTACCTTATTAACAAATAGGTTTTGTGTGGGAGTATTGTCTACTAGGAAGACAAAGGATGAATGCACTTCTCCTGCAGCTTGCATTGTGACGGCTGACTAAATATCGATTGATAAGAATGGACAAGTGGACAATGGTGAAGGAATGTACATCTGGGCTCTCCCCAGCTCAGTTGACATAACACTTACGTGTTCAGAAGTCCGAAAGGAATTAAGTATTGTTCGGAAGTGCTTGTGAAGATCTTTCGAGTATTTATATGCAAACGAAAACAAGAGCGATGTGAAATTTTAAATTAAGGGAACAGATGGAGGATTTACCTGTATATACGCTGTGCAAATTAACTTTTATGTAATGAAATTTCAAATATTTGATACTGCAAAACTCATATCCATTGAAATTTTGTTTCGTAATTCTATAGCTCATTTGCTAAATCATGATCATCTTCGCAGATTTCGTTTCATATTTCAGTATAAATATTTTTGCTTTCATTTTTACTTCTAATTTTATTTTTATATGCTGATTTAGAAGATAATGTCCCGCCAGTAGCCGAGTGGTTGTGACAGCTGAATACAGGGAGATCGACCGGAGTTCGATCCAGAGTTAGTTTCATGGTTGATTTTCATGATTTTCCTCATGTGCAACGTGAATGCGAGTCAGTTCTTTCTTTCTCTAAATTCCAAAAATTTAATGTGTATAAATTCTGTCAGCTGTTGTGACCGCATTGATTTCATCAGATTTGATACCGGAAATATTAACTTTATATTTAAGTAATGGTAGCCTAACATTACACAGAGATAAATTTATTTCTTTCAAAGAAAATTAGTTGGTTTTGTAAAACATTTTCCAATTCAGTGTCCCCCCCCTTTTTTTTTTTTTAGCAGATAGACTGCATAATTTAGGAAAGTTGTGTAATAAAGATCGTAGTTTAGCTTAAAATTAAAGGCATGAATCAATTTAATAGCAAAAACAATTTTTAGTGTCTGTTTAACATGAGTGATTTTAGTCGCTGTAAACCTGAAGAAACAGAGAGAAAAGAAATAAAATAATAAAAATAAAATTTGAGAAATAAGGACATTTAGTATGGCCTCAGTCCTTTAATTTAAATTTGTTAAATAAAAAGAAATAAAACTAACTAAAAAGAATATATCTTGCAAAATAACTGCAAGACATCATT